ATATGAACAGTAACACAACATACAACATATGCGTGTATCAATAATTACATCCATATCTTCATCTATACATGAATATATATATATATACATACATTCATACATACATACATACATACATACCTACATACGTATATACATACATACCTACCTACATACATACATACATACATACATACATACATACATACATACATACATACATACATACATACATACATACATACATACATACATACATACATACATACATACATACATACATACACACATACATGCACACACACACGGCGAAGGCCTGTGTCTCATGACGTGTTGTCACAAAAGAGGCAATTATGTCTTGCATTAAAGCTATTGTGCCAACTACAAAGCCACAGAAGGTGCAGACCCTAACCCCAATAATAAAGCTCTCTCTCTCTCCCCACAGCCTCCCCAAGCGCCGCCTCCTCTTCCCTTCCCTCCCTCTCCCCCCGTCCTCCTTCTCGCACCATCCAAATCAACAGGCATAAGCACAGTGGTGCCTCTAAGAACAGCGGAAGCGGCTTGCAGCAGCAGCTGCCGCAGCTGCTGCAGTTGCTGCTGCGTCCCCTCCGCTGCTAGCCATGCAGCAGAAGCGCATGACGCAACGAGCACGTCGCACCGACCAAGCCGCGTGCCTAGCCAGGGGGAAGGAGAGCCTAACAGAGCTGCTGCATCTGTCGCAGTTGCTGCTTGCATCAGCGGCTGCGCGCCGGAGCTCAAAGGCAGCAATTCGCCGCCATCCACGTGCCTACACGCACCAGGCAGCAGCAGCAGTAGTCTCACTCGCAGGGAACCGACACACCTGCAGAAAGGCTACACCAGATATCCGCTAGAGGGAGCACCAATGTGTGAAGAACGCACCAAAGAGGACAGACAGCATGCCCCACTGCAAGAACAACCCTTAGCCCGCTGCTTTCCACGATCCACACGGCCCCTCCAATGTGCAACCCGGCGCGGATGCACTGCACGTACACCCCGCTGTCTGGCTGATGCATGCAACTGCAGCTGGGGGAAGCGGAGATCGCCTGATTGGATTTCGATGGTGCTGCCCTTTCACGACTGCCGCATAATTGGCCGTTGTCATTACAGCTGCACAAGCCGCCAGCCCTTCTCCGACGCTTGATGGGAATCGCCTCGTGATATCTGATGGGGATGCATGCTCCAAAGGCTGCAGCTACGTCAGCTGCAGTAAAAGGCAGTCCACTAGACTGGGAGCTTTCTGCTGCAGTAGTGGCTCCTGCTACTGCACTGTTGCTCACTGCTGCTCTTGGATTTACTGCTGAGTGCGCAGACGCGGAGCCATCAGGCAGATGGGGCATCGCAAAACAGTCGGTCGCTGCCAGGAGGGAGGCCTCTGTTGCAATTTTCCCAAAGTGTTGCGCTGCATGCGTGCAGTAGACTGACGGGAGATCCTCTGCTGCTGCTGGATCTGAATCCGTCTTCTGAAGCACCTGCACATTCTCGCTACAGCTCCGCCATCGCACCTTGTGCAAGAGTGGCAATGCGCCGCAATACGAAACAGTTCCATGACTCAAGAGGACAGCATCTATCTCGTCAAGCTGCCTGCAGACATACCACCAACAATAACAGCAGAAAGCATGCACAGAGCAAGGCAAAGGAGACATACTCGTGACACTCATGGCTACAGTCGAAAGACACACGATAAGACTTTTTTGCTCTAGCGCAAGGGACCGAGTTCATGCTGCAGAGCGCTTGCGCTTTACCTTAGAAGAAGCGAGATGCGACTTGGGTCCAAAGTATCAGGAATGCCGCAATTCAGGAGTAATTTTGTTTCGTTGATCGTTACTAGAGCTGCGCAGTAGTCGCCGGAGTAAAGGTGCTCCACCCTCAAGGATTCCATCCTTATAGTGCCGCAAGCTCCAAGAGTTGAACCAATGCACTAGCTCCGCAACTAGAGGCGACGCGGATTCTCCCGTCTCTCGCTTGGATTGCCCCTAGTCCACTATTTCTCAGGAGGTGTTTAGCATGTGACAGCCACTCCGAAATACAGACAGCTGGGAAAATGCGCAGTACGCCTGAGCAGTACAGGAAGGGGGCTGTTTTGCTGCGTGAAAATATCCACCAGCAAAGCTCCACAAAAGACGAAGCGTATTCTGGAGGTCAGGATTTGAGAAGTCCCTGCTCGACTCCTGCCTGCCCTTGCCTGGGGGGCCCCCTGCATGCAGAAAGGCCTCCAATCTTACACGCGCAACTTAATGAGGAAACCCGCTCGTGACACTCCAGAAATTATGCAAAAGTTGCAAGAACTAATTTCAGATGTAAATAAGTATATTATGGACAACAAGTGGCGAGGAACCTAAGCAATCTGTTGGTACTGCGCACCCCATCAGTCGGACTCGCAGGCTGCCAGTTATTTTGAACGCGTTTCGGCTCCCGTCCTAAATATTTGCGCAAGCTCACGTATACTCGCTCTATTCTAGGCGTCTAGGGACTCCCGCGCAAGGAACAATATCGATTTGTACACGTGCCAACCTCTGCATAACCTTTACCTTTAACCTTTATCTGTGACGGGTCAAGAGATGCAGTTCGGTACTACGGTGGGCGGAAATGGACCTAAGCACTTTTCTGATACACTGCTAGTAATTTATCAAAAATCTGGCAGAAAACTAACTAATAAGGGAGGGTGCTCAGATGGCCAATATAGCGCAAAGTGGCGTGCGCCGGCTACAAGATTTAATGCTTTTTGCATGTGGCTAGATGCTGTATGCAACTAGGTATAAATGCTCGGAAAGCCTAGAGGGTGATCATGGCACACTATGGATTCTCATGTCTCCCTCTGCAGGGACGTTTAGAAGCGATGGAAGGCAATAGCGGTGCTCTCTTTGTGGGCCATTCATCATTTTCAGTGAAGTTTTGATTGAGTGTGGAATTTACTGTGTAACTACAAAGGCCTTGATTTAAGTGCTACGTATAATAAGCTCACATGCTTTTTTCCAACTGTTAGCGCGCTCAACGATTTTGTCTCTTTATCTTTGGTCCTCTTGGGCTGTACACTCAATTCCAGAGTCAATCGAAGTTTAATAGAAAGCTATGAGGTATATTCCAAACGACGTCCCCCCTTTCTTTGCCTACCCCTCTCAGAGTTGTCTACGTAGGGGAAGAGGGGAGACTAGGGGGCGCGTATGTGCACTTTCTGAGCATTTACCGCTAGTTGCACACAATGTAGCCCGTGCTCACGCACAAAGTTTCGGCTTCCTCTGTTGAACTAAGAGTGATCTGCAGTAAATAAGATATACGAATACACAACCCACTCAGTCAGATTTTTACTTTTTTAAAAGTAAATACAGCTAGTGCATTGGAAAATGTCGAAGTGTAGCTTAGCCCACCACATCTTGCGTTCCAAGCTCGAAGCACACACTCACATGTTCGGTACCTGTCGGTTGAAACCAGCTGCGAGCAGAACAACTAGAGAGATTCCGTCGTGTTGCCTATCATTAGGCTAGGAAGGAAGGCAGCTCTATTAGGGAGCGCGAGGAATACAATCCGTGTGGACTGCTTTGTCAGACAGAGCCGTAAATTCTCCGGCAGGCAAGATGTCCTGTTTCTTCTTCAGCCACTGATGCTGGCGTTCACGACCCCAATTCGCAATAAATTCTCATCCAATGAGTACTCGGTTGCCAGTCGTTCTAGAATTCAGCACTTCCATGACTTCCTGTGGAGTTTCCTACAGGGGCCACTTGTCGCGGCAAAGTTCGCAAATGCCTTGAGGTATTTGCAAGTTTTCAGAGCAAGCCAATGTTGATAACTCTGTGGTACTCCAAGTATTGGGGAATCGGTAGGATAAGAAAAATATCGATTTGTGAGAGAATGACAAATGGTCTTACCAGCAGGCCGGAAGCTTCTGTGTATGCTTAACTCGCGGTGCACCTCGCACAGCCTGCCGATGCACCGCGATCAAATCTTCATTACCGAAAGAAAAAAGCCGACACCTGCTCGTCATAACTGCGTACTTATCCATCTTAAGCTTTGTGCATACACTCGCGTACAGTAGCTAGCTATTTTCACTATGTTTCTTACTTCCCGTGGCTTTTGACTCCAACCACAAGGTCCAGGCACAGACGGGAGGAGGCCTCCTGAGTAAAGGCCAACGATGCGGGAGAACAAACGGGTAAACGAGTGTACGGTTGTATCTTAAACTTACTCGTGAAAGGAAGAAATTTAAATCAAGCAAGTGAGCTTTTGTAAGCATAGAGTTACAACTACTTCAGGAGATTGGGTTTGATGCGTTTTATATGTCGTGTGCCTCAGAATGGTTTACAGTGGTCAGTGCGTCGGCAATTATGTAGGCATACCCGAAATGCACTAACGAACTTCGAGTTCCTATCCGCAATGATATTTCTGGTAACTCCATAAAGCTTGAAGACACGTTAGAAATAATTGATCCACTTCTTGAGCCGTGGCAGAGCCAGAGCTGGAGAGAGGGAGGAAACGGCCAATTCGGCTGAGTCTTTGACAACTACACATATACCATCTTAATCCTTGACCTTCGATAGTCCATCAGCATAATCCGTAGCCCGATCAGTCTGCCTTGTCAGAAGCTTTGAGGTTCGCAACATGCCGGATCTGAGGGAACCGCTCGTCTCCTGCTACTGCTTATTTAGGCATATCCTTGCATACTTATCTGCTGCTGGATATATCAAATGCCATCAAAGGCTTGTGAGAGCTTCTTCGCTGTAGTATGAATCCGGCCATCACTAAAAAGAACACGATCATTCACTCCGTACAAATCAGCTTTGCCAAGCGAAGCCGGAATGTCAAGCCACAGAATTTTTCCTTGTTCTGATCCACAGCATTTCATCCTCGATGTGGTGCTTCTTCACCCTGCTGCCAATCTGGATTTCGGAAATCGTAGAGGGTGATTGTAGGCATAATTCTCACGTAGTTTTTAAACAAACCGTGAATTATGAAAAGCATGAACGGTTGCGCTACACAACATCGAACCGCTGGGGTGTCGCGAGAGCGAGTGGGGGACCCTGTTGGTGATGCCTTCAATATGCTTTACCATAAAATCGAACGGTAAGAGGCGCCTAAAGCAGTCCTAGAATTAGCCGAATTCTGAAAACTCTTCGTGATGCACGATGAAAACTGGCCGTCGGTTTGGACAGTAAAATGACGCCCTTACTTATATTGCCCCGCGATTTTACAAGCTTAGACACACCGCATAAAACTATCGTCACTGCACTGGGTGCACCTACCCGAGTTCGATTTAGTGATAAGAATAACAGGCAGCAACTCGGTGCTCTGGTGAACCCGTAGCCTGGCTAGATAGAATAGCGCCCACCACTGCATGCATCTTTCTGGTTGATAGGAAGACATGGTACGTATTGTGGGGCAACGCAATCCCTGAGGAGCTGTAAAGCGGCCCATAAGCGCCCTCGCTGCAGCGTCAGCCTCCTCTGGCGATGCCACAGCCTGCGGGAAATGCAAGAATGAAATTTGGGTTAAAATGCAAACCCGTAAGCCTGTGAGACATCTTTTGCGGATGCGTCAAGGTAAAGGCCACGGCTTTATTGCTTCAATTTTTTATGGATATGGCTCAATGTCTGTGGCCAAAACGTGTGTTCTAGAGAGTATAACTGGTTTTATTGAAGCCAACACGTGCACACATTTGCACACCTCTGCTCATCTCGCAACAGCGAAAGTCACCTGCCCATGTGCTATAGGTGCTTTGAAACGTTTTGGCTGGTTACAAGGGCGCCCTCCATGTAAACACCTTTTCATTCTTTCATTGGACAAAACTCCTGCGTTAATTGACGTCCCAGTTCAGCTGGTTCATTTATAAAGTATAAACTGCGTACAGATATATTCTAGTTTGCGGGTAGGAATGTGAGACGCCATTTTGCGCGTGTCATCAGGGTGAATAGGAATATGTGAGAGGGCAGCTGTACAACCAAATGTGCAGTGGTTTGTTGATCCGGGTCGTTTGCCAAGTATTTTGCCAATGCGAGGCATAGGGAACTTCTGCTTCACACGCTTGATGCTAGAGCACGCGCGCCATTTTTCGTCCTTTCCTGCACCAACACTAGCTATGCCCAAATACCCCAGTTTACTCCTGCACTTTGCCATTATCAACGAAGTATACGCCCGCCACTCAATCAATCATTCGTTTCATGGAGGCTTCCGATGCCGCGGAACACACCTTCGGGCTGCATCGGGGATTAACCCAAAATGCTGCGTAGGACGGCCAGGACGTGGCAAGTCTGCTGGCAACTCGCCACTACTTAGCACCTCCGTAAACTCCTTGATGTTTTGCTTATTCCTGCTGCTATTCCGCTAAAAATTCGATCGAATCTTCTGCTAAAGAGCCCGATCCAGATGTCGACTCTACCCCACTTACCATAGATAAGGTTATCTTTGAGAAGACCAGATGTTGCTTCTTTCTAGCGCTTCCAGCCACTCTAAATCGCATATCTGGCAGCTCGGGTGCCTTTCATGGGGTCACCCATTGCATAACTAGGAGTTCCCAATCGTGCACGGGTCCAACATAGAAAGCATGGACCACGCTGATCAAGTCATACTCTGATCAAAAGGGTCAGATAACTGCCGTAGCCTTGCCACTCCGCATGTTGTGCCGCCCATCAGCAAACATGAGTCTTAGAGCCTGCGATATCCATTGAGCGGGCCTCAAGTAACAGATTCAACTCACATGGAGCGCCAAGTAACGCTAGCAATTCCTGGTCATTGCTGTCAGCTTGCATCGGGGTAGAATTGAACCGTGATAGGTCTCCAATTCGCTGCTGACTTCATCGTAAGCTTCTTCACTGTGCCGTACTCCCAGGGGTCTTTCCGTTTCTTCAATGCACCTGTTTAACCCGCCAAGAATCTTGCTTCTGTCCAGTA